CGTGTGTTTGTATGTTTTACAAAACTTTATGATTTCAGACGTTTACTTTCAATGTTATCGATCTTATATTGTACTAGTTTTAAGAAGGAACTGGTTGTTTGGCTACATGAATACCTCTCCTGCCCTTTGTATTTCCTAACAATTAAAGTTTATCAACACCATTTGAGTTGGACCTCTTAGATAGTATTAATGTGAGTTAGAAATCTGTACAAGATAATTGTTTCAGATATTTTGATTTATGTAAAAAGAAAGTTCGTTTATAAGTTGTAATTTAAAACCACAAAGTTTTATGTATAAAGATCCAAACCAGCAAGAAACATGCTCTAGACAAAGATTTGTGAAAATTTCTAAAGGTAAGAATATAATTTTCTACAACAGTAATAGTTAAAAATAACTGTTTGCGTAGATCCTTTAAGCTTTAGCCGAAAAATCAACTTATAAAGGTAAACATGAGATTTAAATAAGATGCTAATTGTAAAAAGTATATTATGCAAATTAAATATAAAAGCAAAAACTATATTAAAGTACGTTAAATGTGTACTAAATCACATAAAACACGATTGGCTGTAGAATAATAATGTAACTGTTTCGTTCAATATAAAATGAAGCATTAGGTTTGATAAAATCGTTTCAGGACAGATAATTGTAAAAGTATGTAAATTAAATCATTAGCTATGCTAATATTTACCTGGTTCAGATAATGAATAAATTAAGATAGTATGTGCGATAAAAACTGACATACGTAATATACTATGCTATAACAGATGTCTTATTAAAATATTGATTTTACCTGTAACTTTTTAGAACATATATATTTAAATCTAGACTACAATGTTGATATCATTTTGAGACACCCTACAATGAACTCATCACCCTATTGATTTATCTATTAATAGAAACACCATTCGCCCAAGCAGCTTTATCCTTAGTAAGACCATCCATCTATAGAACCTTAGTAACACAATTTGCTAAATAATATCAACTGCCTTTGCAAGACACACACAAAATAGGCCTAGTAGCAGCATCTACCTATAGTAACACCATCCGCCTATAAAACCTTAGTATCACTATCCTCTTATAGAACTTTAGTATCGTCATCCACCAATAAAACCTTGGTAACACCGTCCGATTTTTAAAGACATATTATTGTGTAAGTGAAAACTATAAACGTGTGTAAAATGAAATATTTTGTCAAGAATCAGTTTACTGTTATACACAATAAAATTTATAGTTATATCTGTAGAGGAATGGTATAAGAATATATTTAATCCATAAAGCCAAACTAGTGAAACAGTTAGATTGTAATTAAATTATTGCATGATACTTAGAGATGTTATTACGAAACATCCGTTTTTTTCAGGACAGTATACTACGCAAATGAGGTAAAATACTACTGATTAAGCAGTCATGCTACGAACTTCGCTAATATTTTCCTTATAGCCTATAGTAACACTATCCTATGAATAATTTTGTCAATAACACATTTACACAATACACGGAAATATAATGAATAAAGTATTGTTCCGTCTCCGTTCGTTAGTTAATTTTCCGTGAAAAATTCTTTCCGAAGAAACTTTACCGATACAAGTCCTTTCTTAAATGAAACTGGTTTATTCTTTCTGAATACAACTTTGTGATACACTTATTTTCAACAGTCGCGCTATAACAAACGCTATAATTCACAGCGAACGTGTCACGTGCTCGACTCAACAATACTCTGTCCGCAGTTCAATTCCACACATTGTTCCCGTTGCTTCTTGGCCGGTCTTATATATACAAGACTACCCCATATCTAGTAGTCTCCCGACGCTTCATGTACGTTCTAGAAGCACGTGGCGTGTTACTAGGGTCACGTGACCTCCGCTGTCGTAACAGTATATAGATGTTGATGACATGTTAAGACACCTTACGATGAGCTAATCATCCTATTGAATTATCCGCCTAGTAACACTATCTGCTTATACAAACACTACCCTTAGTAACACTATCCGTCTATAGAAACACTGTCCATCTTTCTAAAATGAATTTAATATTTTCATTTATAATGCGAAACTTTAATTGTGATAAAAAAACTTTAAAGTACAGATATTTGTAAACACAACGTTATGTAAATTAGATAAAATATTAATTTGAAGACTTTGATTGTTACTATAAAGTTGATGACATGTTGATGTAAATCACCCTCTGATGGTTCACTTGTGAACTATCTGGTGATTATCATACCAAAACGTTCTCTGGTGCCACTTAGTGGCCAAGCAGCACACTCTCTGGTGAGTCACACTCGTACTATGATGTCACCCACCCTATCAACATACCCCTGGCAACACGACCTCTGGCGAGTAGTACTCAAACTACAGGTATTTTGTATTCGATGACGAGGAACCCACTTTGAGACTAATAATAGCTGGAGATGGCTTGAATGGGTAGTGAAGAAAAACTTAGTTTTTAGTTTTTCTTCATTACCCATTCAAGCCGTCTCCAGACATTATTAGGTATTTATTAGGTATTATATTATTTAAGAGTTACATAACCCTCACGTGTATATATTACGCAACAGTTATGTAACCCTCAGATGTAAATATTAGGTAATAGTTATGTAACCCTAAGGCACATATTATGTAAAAGTTATATAACCCACATATGTACATATTACGTAATAGTTATGTATCCCTCAGGCACATATTATGTAAAAGTTATATAACCCACATATGTACATATTACGTAATAGTTATGTATCCCTCAGGCA